ATTCAATGATTGCCAAGACAATATGATTAGGGGCGGGTCCTACAGAGCTAAAGTACATGCTGACCCTTCCTAAAGTGTGCTATTTACAGCCTATACAATTTACTAGAGGGATTCAAGATTATTGTATCTTTAACAAAGTTAATCAGTCTCTTATCTTTTACATTTGCACAGGTTTTGGCAGGTATGATCAATCAATAATATCTGTGGGACTAGCTATTAGAGTAGTTTATAATCAGAATATAAATATTTTGTACTAAATCATAATATAATATTATAACATCAACTACATTTAAAGATGCAGGTCATCAGGTCATGCTGTATGGCTGGTGACCAGTTCTCACCTCTCTTATAAATTCTGTAGATCTTTAACTGGTGACATCTTCTTCGTAGATATTAGAGAACTGCAGTAATTAACATGCAGCTTTTGATGGACACTCTGACCAGAAGTGCAGAATCGCACTATCTTACTCTATATAAAGCGAGACGATATATATCTGTGCCATTTTACAGACACCACGGCATCAACTTTAACGCGACTTTCAGCAAAAACCGTTAAAGATATACAACTGAAACTTTTTTGACTGGGTCAAATGCTTTAATGGCCTCCAAATCAGCATGAAAAAATAAAAAATTGGCCAAGGAATAGTGATTTTAGAGCCCAAAATTTGGACCCCCAAGTGGTGTCAAAAACGCGAATTAAATAGGTAATAATTATTTTAGTCTCTTGAGTCTTGACACCATTGAGGGTTATATTATACGGGTTCCTACTTCCTGCTAGTTGACCTAATACCGCACATCTTCGCACCATCGGCCGATATTGTGTACTGCTCTGTACAATTAGATAGGATCAAAATGCCCATAACTATGGTTACGGTAAAAGATTTGTCATGACGTAACATCAAAAACATCGGAAAGAAAGAAATACTTTTTTAAATCAGGAAAAGTGGATAATATCCTGTCCAAATCCAGGATACATAACATGAAGACTTTGTTGTAACTTGTATGAAAAGCATTCATAAAAAACAATCCCGGAAAGCTAAAGCAAAGGTCATTATTAATATTATCAAACGGCAATTTGATAGTGCAGCGACTTTTAATACTGTCGATATTTGATTAAAAAACAAAAGCTGGTGAATCTTGGCAAATTAAAAATTCGTCAAGCTGGATCGCAATCACTCAACACATTAAAACTAAGTCACCATAGTCGCGATTAAATGTATTAAGGTTGTATCTTTAGTAAGATAGTATTATAGTTTGCAGGTGTTTTAGCTTATACACACAATGAGTTGGAATCTAAAACTTCCATGAGGAAAATTTTACAATTATGCCAGGAAACTCGGTGTAAGACATTAACCTTTTAAGTTATTTGTTTTGTCAACATTCAACAATCGTGTAATGCACAGTTTTATAGTATTAGAACGCTTTCGTATAATCCAACCTGAGAGTACCTAAAGACTGAAAATTTGGCGAATTGTTGAGCTTAATTGCTATGATTTCTTCTCTACAAATTTGCTGCACCTAATTTCAGGCAGGTGCGGAATCGCACTATTTGCAAAATACTTCCGCACCTACATGACGTCTCTGACTTCTTACCTGAATTTGCCTACACTCGGTTTGTTGATTTATCGGGAATATTTTGAGAAATCGAATTTTTTCGAAAAACTCGGGATTAGCCCGAGCAGGCCCGAGAAAATTTGGGATCCGCACGAGCAAGCTGGTGAGAACTTTCGGGATCCGCTCGAGCGTGAGAACTTTTGGCGAGTAGCAGTTCCGGGAAGAAAAATACTTGTGAAAGGTAAGTCTGACTATGGTGTACTTGTTAACATACTCAGGTGGTTCATTAATTAATGGAGGGAGGTGGTCTGAGCCATCAGCTATAACACCATGATATAGACATTCACTGAGTCACCTCCTTATGTCAGTTGCGTTAGATTCAACGTTTCAGTGAAGATCGCCCTTAAAATTTAACTTCTTGCCATTCGGACTGGAGTACCTGTCAGGTTTTACCTCCCTTGGCAAGTCTGACACTAAACTTATTAGAGTAGTAGAAATCATTATTTAATCACAGTTCTAGGCGACGTTTCTCGCCGCACTGTAAGTTCACTAATTATTTTGCATAATCCAAGGCTTTAGCTTTGGTTTCAGTTTAAATCTTTCATTTTTATAGTAATATGAGAAATATATGGGATTGGTTTTTATTAAGATTACATTAGAAATGAAGGCAGACACGATTACTAGGTTTTATACTAAAACAAGTACCCTTAGAGCGGTCCCGGCCCCTGTTTATCATTGTAACACTGTAAACCTATGAGACTGTAAACCTGTAACACTAAATTGTAACTCCAAAAACCATTGATACACTTGTTACACTTGTTACACTTGTTACACTTGTTACACTTGTTACACTGTAAACCCCTGTAACACAAAACACTTTACAGAACTATTGGTCCGATAGCGTATAAAAAGGTTAAATCCACAATAATTGTAATATAATGTGTTATAACTTGCTGTGCTCCACTATATATAAATACTGCATACTTCTCGTTAACAGTGGTTAAGCAGTGGTTAAACTGCTTAACCACTGCTTAAAAACCTTTAAAGTTTAAATAGTAAGATTTTCCCAGCACCATTACTTTTAGTATTTTGCCAAGAGTTTCTCAGATAGTTTTGGTAAACGTTTCTTAAATTAATGAACCTCGAGCACGAAAGAATTGTTGAATTAATACTTTAATAACGGTGAATTTCCCATTCATGAATCACCTGGTGATTTAGTCACCACTACCACAGATTCTGATGCCAGCATGCATATTACTGTAACAAAGTTTGGGAATATGAAAGTGGAAGTTCTGCTTTGTCGACCCTGTAACTTAATATATTGCTCCGTAGCTTTGCTAACGTTAAATGTCGTTGAAGAACGTTTATCGGTCGTTGAAGAACGTTTAGCGCCAGAGTTTCATCTGTCATCTTGTAAATGGAAATTGTTAGGGTCATGATGGATGTTATTTTGACGCAATAATGAATTGTACCAATTTCTTTAAGTTTTGAGCTTGATATTTAGTTTACGCACTAACATGTGACGCTCAAGAGGAAGCGGTTCAGATAAATGGACTGAGACTAAGTAAGCGGAACTGATTTGTCCTACCTGTTTTATTGACGTATTACTTAATAGATTGCTGCGTAGGTTTGCTAACGTTAAATGTCGTTGACAAATTTGTAACGGTAGGAATCACCTAAGTTCCATCTGTCAGCTTGTACATGGGCCTGGCCATTATTGATGGATGCTATTTTGTCGCAAAAATAAATTGCACCAATATCTTTGAATTCTTCGGGAAATAGAGTCAACCTTCAGACACTTAAATCGACATCTGTGACTCATGGCTGATAGAATATCATTTGTCATTTTCACAATAGGAACGAGAAATTATTGTCATGGGAGTTATATTTAAGAAGATTTTTTTCTTCTAAAATTTCAAACGTGGATGTTTAGACGCTTGTCTTCAACCCAACACTTATTTATTGGGTGCTGAAGGGGTTTTGTCACGTTTTTTTCAATTTGATGAAAAACTAAAAGACTTTTTTAAAAAGTCACTTTGGGGACTCCCAACATCCCTGTTCATAGCATTAGGACATACGTGTTCGCATCAATCATGATAGAACAGGCTTATATCTACTACATAATATAACCTATGAACCTCAGAAAATATCAAATATGAACATTTCCGATGCCAGGGTATAATTCGCCAATTATCCCCGAGTTTGATATTTAGTTTGCGCACTACCATGACGTGAGGCTCAAGAAGATGCTGCTCCAGATAAATGGTCTTAATCACCACTATCAGAGGTTGTGATGCCAACATTGAGAGAAAGTTTGGGAACATGGAAGTGGAACCTAATTTTATCGACGTGCTACTTAATGGATTGATAACGTTAAATGTCGCTAAATAAGCTACGATGGCCAAATGGTAGGAATAAAGTTTGAGAATATGGAAGTGGAAGTCCACGAAGTCATAGTTAAATGGTGGGAATATCCGCTACTTGCTAGAATGCAGCTAGTTTGTCATGATCAGGATTGTTTGAGGTTATAGAAGTGGAACTTGATTCTCAGTTTGACGTGCCAGTTAATAGCTTGCACAGTAGCTTTAACGGTCCTTAGCGGGGGAGGCAGATGCGTTTAGCAACACACTATATAAAGCGGTGCTCCAGCTCCGGTTAGTTGAAGTCTTTCTCTCTTGAGCTCGTTACCAAGCTGTGATTTGGTACAGCTTCGGCTGGTGATATACATTCTCTGGCTCGTAGGACTTACCCCCTAAAGCTAGTATAGTGCCTCGGCACAGATTGGCTTAGGGTTACTGAAAAAGGAGATAAGCACCTCAGGCCATCTTAACTTGCGGGAGAGACCTGCCCTTGTATCTTGTTGTATCTTGTATCTCTCTTAAGCTTAGTCTTTCTCTCTTGATATTAGTGCTACTGTGTTACCTGCTTCAACCATACCTGAGATTTTTCTTTAGTGTTTTTTAGGTTTACTAAAAAATATTTACTTTAATGTACGTACTGTTATTTTTAATCGTTACTACCGACAGCAGCACTTGTGATGGTTTTTAAGGAGTTTTGGAAGATATATGATCTTGGTATTGAGTACCTTTTGAATGGTAAGTTTGTCAGTTCACTTATCATGTTAGTAGTTTATCTGGTTGTCCAGGAAAAGCTCTAATTGAAAACCATGCTGTCAGCAATAAGATCATAGTAAATGATAGTTTAAAACTCTTAGTAAGACTAGTCAGTCGTCCAATGTAAAGCTAGTACCATGTAATCATAACAACTAAATACTGTACAAACTACAAACATGTTAAATGTACAACTAAGTTTACAAATGACCAGTTCTCACCTCACATATTAACTCCGTGTTGATAAGACATCCTACTGTTGACAAACTTATGACAAACTGATGACACACTGATGACAAAGTAATGACAACCCGCTTTAACACACTATATTCTCAGGAGAGGAAGCGAGTAAAGCGGAGGTCAAATTCCAGATGACTTCTGAAAAGTTTCACAAGATATTTGCTCTTACGGAGGATGACAGATTGGTCAACTATTACTCTTGCAGCATATGGCATGGTGAGTCGTCTACGTCAAGCACAATTACATAATTACAATTACATAATCACAATCACATAATCACAATTACATAATTACAATTAACTGTTATCCCTTGCTGAGTTGCCAGTACTATCTGAATATTTAGAAAGTGTATCAGGATGCGTCATGTATTTTAATTATCTCTGTTGTTTTGAAATAATTCCAAAAGTAAACATGTCTGTACTTTTGGATGTAAACAGTTAATCTTATGTAACATAACACGCATGTTCTTGTAGGTAATTTCCCGAAGCAGGGCTGGCTCTACCTCTCGCTACGACATCTCTCATTTCACTCTTACTTCCTAGGTAAGATTATAATTACTCAGCGTAAGATAAGCAATAAAGGAAATTGTTATGGGAAAAAAAGTAAAAAGTTTTTAAAAAGTAAAAAGTGTAGGTTTCAAAATCCAAAATATTTCGACTGCTACAAACGTAACAGAATCCGCGTGTCTGTTGTCATTATTACATACATTTTTGGTGTGAATTAATCGCTTACTTGTAAAGGAGCATATAAACTAAAAAACAACTTTAAAAATGTTTTACAACTAATTAATTTAATGACAGGTAAGACAGTTCAGCACTGTATCCCCTGGACCGAACTAGTAGGAATAGAGAAGATATCTGGAGGTTTCAAGATACTAACCAGAACAGAACGACACGCTTTCCTCTTCTTCTTTAACTTGGAGGAAACTCTTCACTTAGTTCAGGTGAGATTTGTCTTCTTTTAACTAGCACTGGATTTGTCCTATTTCAATCTGTTAGTTTCTGGTTTCCAATTCAAAGTTTTAGTTTTACGCCAATGTACTAAATAGAAATTATTTGTCCCAGGAGTTGAGCAAGATGGCAGTTAAGAGTTTGTTGAACGGAGTGGAAGATAAGAATGATTATTACAAGTTTGACGAGGAGATCATGAACAATGGTAATTTTAGATTTTAATTTCTGTACCACTTTTACCACCATGTTACCACTTTCTGTAATAATCTAAACTTGTAGTAAGGTTAGCTCCTGTACTAAACATATACATAAAATTAAACGATCTATATACATTAAATTATCTAAATAATACATGTACATACAAAGTACATAGATCATTTGATGCGACCACACCGAAATAAGAGTCTAGGCAGAATAGCGCTGCGGTGGACAGCATCAACATGCTAGTTACAAATTTGCATTCCTGTGGTAATACGCCAATACGGAGGAACATACGCTAATACGGAGGAACATTTTGCCAATTACCTGAGAACTTTGGCTACACAAATTATAATTAGTTGGACTGCATAATGAAGTATGAACTATAGCTGTCTTAAAATAATACTTTACTGGCTCCAAGTTTACTGGTCCCGAATTTACTGGCTCCGAGTTAATCTTAACTTTTAATCCAATACAATACAACTGTTCGCGTTAGTCCTTTGACTTGCAAGGTCATTCCTGGTACTGAATTAGTTTTAATGTTTCTTGTCCAATTGTTATAACTTCTCCCATTGTTTAAGATAATGACAAAACACAAACAATGAGTAAACCATTATATTAGAGACTATTACTTAGTGTTAGACTTAGAGTTAGACTTAGAGTCAGACCTACACCAGTACTCCAGCTGCATGCTCATTACATACATTTTATTATGATGCAACTCAGCCACGCTGCCCAGTGCCCAGTGCCAAGTGCCCATACAATGTGCAGTGAGCATCTAAATATAAGTCCACAGTTCTCCGCCGTACTGGCTTTAAGAGCCCTAATAACCAGAACAGCATCATTGTAACCTGTCGTTTAATATGGAGTTATTTTCTGTTAATATGTATATTTCCATCTTATTTACCTTGACATCACTATTTCTTTTAAAATCTATAATTTTATTAAGTTGTCCAGGTTGAACAGCTTGATTATCTGGAAAATAGAAAATATCTGCTGCATATTCTTCGTGATATTGCTCTAGTACCTAGGTTAGATTGGGCGGAATATTAATTGCAACTGTACAACCTTATAATATCTAACTGCAATAATCTAATAAAATATAATCGTCCTGACCCTTAAATTAACATAATTCTCTCTCGGGTGCGTATTTCAATAGCGCACACTGGCTAGTGGCTGTTGCTAATAGAATTCTTTGAAGATCTCGATTCCTGGAATCTTATAAATAATCATAAATTCTACAAAATTCTGATTGTGCAGGTTATTCTAATACCGTTCTCTTCTTGCATCACTGTTGAACTCTAAATTATAATTATATGCATCATTATATAACAGTATCATATAAGCTCGATCACAGACTACTAAAATGTTAAAATGATTTTTTAAAAGCCCCAAACTGTCTGGTTACAGGATTTGATATTTCTTAATCATTTCTTTATTGTATGAATTTATCTGAACGATCTTTAAGTCTTAACTTAGTACCAACTCTGAAATAAACTGAACACAAACTAAGCACTGCTTGTTGTTTAGCAAGATCTTGTTTTGCAAGATCTTGGAGCAATCTGTAGTCAGAGGTTTACATCTTATTATTATCTGGCGCGTTCTTCATGATACCACCAAACATAGTCATCATTCCATGCATACCACCAAACATAGTCATCATTTTGAACACACCCCCAATTAACATGATCATCATTCCAGTTGCTTCCTTATGACGACAGTTAACTGTGCAAGCCAAGCTTTTATACCATATGTTAACCCCTAGGTAAATACTTTGCTAATTGATAACCGTAACTAACTTAGCCACACCCTAGATAAAAACTACGTTAAGCAGTACATTGACGCGAAAGCCCAGAGTGAAGGATACTGTAAGAGGTTTAACCTGCCCTTGTGGGAGCGGCTCGACGGGTTTGTCAACTGCAACCTCTGGTTCCCTTACACTAAATCTGATGTGCCTGGTAATTAACTCTTAATTGCTTAATTGGCTATTGATAATGTTTTTAGATATAATTAATTGACTGATTTGTTGGTTAGTAATAGTATTTTTATAAGATTATAAAATGCTAATATTCTGCTGATTATTGTCACTTTTGTAACATGTTTTGAAAGTTTGAAATATTGGTTAACATTTATTATCGTTTAGGACGGTTATACTGCAGCCCCTCTTACTTATGCTTCATTTCTAAATACGACATCAGATGTAAAGTCATCATCCCCATGAAGGAAATAGCAGTAGTTGAAAAGGTTAGTTTTTTGTATTTTTGTAAAGTATCATTACCTCATTTTCGTGTTGTTAACCTCAGTTAACCTCAGTTGATTCTGAGGCTTGCTGCTATCAATATTCGGTAGCTACAAACCTAATTTGTCCTTTGCTAAGCGTGTATTGTAAGGGAATACGTTCCAATCATATATAAGTATATAAGAGTTATCAGTTTCCTCTCGCCAGCTACTAAGGAGAGGGAATTAAGAAATGACAGATTATATGCAGTATACTTTGTCACGCATGCGACATAAAATTAATTATGCTCTTAAGACGTTGAGATATCAAGCTGGTCGAGATTTATCATCCATCGGAACTGTCACTTTGCTCGAGATTAACTACCGACATAATGACAGTGGTTGAGGGTAAATGGCAAATCTCGCGAATTAACACGCTTCATATTTTAAACTCTTGATTGGATTCTCCCGAGAATGCTGCATATACCTGATCACGTGATTTAAATGTTCCTCTTTTATCAGGTCGATAGCTCAGTGTGTCCGGACGCTCTGCACATTACAGCTAAGAACAAGATAACGTTCATGTTTGGGAGTGTTCCCCAGCGAGACTATCTCTGTTGTAAGATATCAGACTTTCTGCACAACTCTACAGCTACTGATAGCATCAAACCTCTCTCACCAACGGAGCGTGGTCTACAGGTATGTACTGTCTGTTTGTCTGTTTGTCTGTCAGTTTGTCCGCCCCTTGCAGCACGCTCCAACCACCCCCTATCACCCTTAAAGCATTGTCTACCAGTCTACTAACACAATTACTATGACGAAATGTTAAGCAATACGCTGTTGCAATAAAGAAATTTATAGCGGTGGTGGGGATTTTAGCACAACCACACCAAGTGCCTTGAAAGCACCGTACCTGCTTACAAACCGAGCTTACAAGCTGCCATTGTCCAGTAAGTGCAGTCTACTGTAACACTACTAGTTGAGTAGTTGACGTGGTGTATAAAGGTATAAGTACAGTGGTATGGTGAATATGTTATGTTGTGTAACATAACTGTTCTATAAAGTAATCACCCTGCTATCATGGTTAATGGTTAATGGTTATTGTGCACTGTGCACTGTGCACTGTGCACTGTGCACTGTGCACTGTGCACTGTACAGAGAGTGCTGAGTGCAGATTTGTGCAGGATATTATAAACGCTCTGCTCAAGTTAACAAGTAGTGCCCGTCTGAGATACTAATAGCCTGGGGTTTATAATTACGGTTCAGCTATTATCGGGGCACCATTATACTGGTTTAGGTCACGGAATCTGCACTAAACTTCGCAAGCTGTCATTATTCTGCGAATCTGCATATTATGCTAATTTGACCTGAACATGAGGGAGAGAGACTGTTACATGGTTAATTTGTATCGTCATAATCAGGTTCAAGAACCCCCCTCTAATTATGACGGGGTAACCTGCTTTAAGAGATATTTAAGACGTGACGGCAGACGGTTCGGAGATGTCAGTTGGGTGGTTATTTAATAATATAGGTGGTTATTTAATATAATAATCTAGCAGGGGTTAGAAAGTCGTTCAACCGAACTTTGTAATAATGTAATAGGCTGTCTCACTCTCACCGGGTTGCAATGTAATGGTCAAGTGATTCAGTAGCACATTCGTAGTAAGCTGTGTACCTCAGTAAATGACATCTCTAGATTTATGCTCTACTGTAACTACTTGTTTCCCTGCAGGCTCTATGTTGTGGTGAGAAATTACATTAATTTAATCATTATTGAATATTCTCCCACTAAAAAACAACTTGTTGTTTAGTTCATAGCCCCTTAACTCAAACTCAGTTTGAGTCAAACTGCTCCATTGCTCTGTTGAATCAAAATTGTGTCACTACTACTTCAGAGTGCAGAGGTTCACTTTATAGCTGTGACAGAGCAGTTTGAAGGGTGACTGAATGGTTAAACAATATAACCTGTTACTTCCTGTAATAATGTAAAATATCCAACAGGTCCAGTTTGTAGACATAATCTCGCCCAGACAAGCTGTAAAGGAGCATCTCTGGCAGCTACATTTCTCTGAGTATGGTAGAGGAGTCTGTATGTACCGGACTAAAAGGTGAGCTCTCACAATTCATAATTTTATCTTCAATATTAGTTGAATGTTCGGAGAATATTCCAGTATTTCGCAGAAAGTTGTAGGTGTGCAGCTTGCGGGATATTGTGACAAATTTGCTACCTAATAAGTAAATTCATAGGTAGCGGTTATTTGACATATTTCATCGATTATGATCAAGGTTAAAATGTGAATTTGTCCCTTTCATTAAAAGTTGGTGTCAAACTGTCAATGGTGCAACAACTTAGCTTCTACAAGCTTCTAGAAGATATTGCAAAATTTATTATGATCTGGGCATGTTGAGTAAGAGTATGTGATCAATTGTTTGATCAAGTATGTGATCATTGCCCCACCTCTTTGATCTTTAGCAGTAGGTGAGCTCTAAATTTATATACTACATTATTTAATAGCTAAGATCTCCCCAGGCTCCAAGAGTTGATATCTCATGGTATACCAGACAAGCTGAGAGCTGAGATGTGGTTAATTCTGTCCGGAGCTATATTCGACATGGAGAAATACCGGGGAAAATACGACATGCTGGTAGAGAAATCGGGCAATGTGTCGCCCATTGTCGCTGATGAGATCGAAAGAGACCTGCACAGGTGAGCTGCATGAGTGTAATTATATTCTTCATTCTATTGGTGAAATGACAATGGTGGCTATACATACAATGCCGCAATAGTAACTGCTGTATAATTGGAGGTCTGTTATAGTTCATGCTGGTGCAATGTATAGCTTGCTACACTCTGTGCAATTAATAAAATCAGAACTGACTTGTTTATCAGCATGGTTGGTGTTATACATATTGACAGTACCGATTTCAAGGCCATATTGTCGCTCATCAAATCAAGAATAGCGGTGCAAAATTCTTTTATTTTGTTCATTCGTGTGTCCTATCCTGGAATTACGCGGCAATGGAATATATGTAACGCGCTAAAAATATATTTGTAGAAACATCGCGCGACATAATAAATTTCAACTTTTAATAAACCTTTATTTGACCGACTAGACTGAGCTAGCACAACGTGACAGTGATATATCATGTGGTAATATGATTTGTGATTATTAAATTATTGTTAATCACCGCTACATCAATAAATAGTATTGAATTGCAGGATGTGCAATATTCTAAATTGTCATACTCTCTTTGAATGATGTGTGTCGTGTTCATATTAACTCTAACCAGAGGCGATTATCCATATGCATGTTATGATATGGATCCATGCTTGCTTGCCCATCAATCAATTAAAATAATAATAAAACTGTTAAAAAACTAACATTTCGCCAAGTCTCTTGATTTTTAAATAAAAACGACATTTCAAGTCTAAGCCCATGTTTTTACTTATTGGGTTACTTTGCAATTTTGAGAATGAACAATGTTTAGGTCTATCTGCATCTGTTGTTGCTCGGTTATCCGGTTACAACAGTTATTAGTTTAGCTATTAACGTCATACCGGTGTTAATTTAGAGTCTCCAAAAACACGTACGGTTCTAAAACACGTACGGTCTAAATATTGGTGATGCCTTTTAGGTTAAATTCGGACTGGAAACATACATTGACTGATAAAAACTACTGTACACAGCAGAATACTGACTCTAATTAGAAACCATTTAGAGATTGTACGAAACAGTTTCCGACCAGAACTCTAAACAACTCCTCCCGTCCAGGTCGTTACCAGAACACCCAGCCTACCAATCTGAGAAAGGTATTGACGCTCTGAGACGGGTCTTACTCTCTTACGCCCTCTACAATTCCAACGTGGGATACTGTCAAGCTATGAATATGATAGCCAGTGTGTTTCTTCTGTACGGCTCGGAAGAGGAGTCCTTCTGGCTGCTGGTAGCTGTTGTGGAGCGACTACTTCCTGACTATTATAACAAGAAGGTCGTGGGAGCTATTGTGGATCAGAATGTCTTCGAGATATTGCTGAAAGAGAACTTACCGGATTTACACCGACATCTGGCTAATCTGGGAGTACTGAAGATGGTTACCATGTCTTGGTTCCTTACTCTCTTCCTCTCCATTGTTCCTTTCTCCTCTGCTATCCACATTGTGGACTCCTTCTTTTACGAGGGTATGTTTAATTAAGTATTTTAAATATTCAAGCTTGAAGACTTATTTAAGAATGAATTGTAATGTACATCTTGATCGATATTGATTATTTATAATGGTTCCAACTGTAGCTCACCACTTTATCACAGCCAATAACCACCAGTCCCACAGGTACAAAGTTCCTGTTCCAGATAGCAATACAGATCCTGCAATACAACCAGGCAGCACTACTGGAGGTGCATGATGATGGGGAGGCCATGCAGCTTCTCACTGAGTTCACAGAGAGCATCTGCAACAAGGACTCTCCTTTACAGATACAGGTATAAAGATATTACTGATAATTTATTTCTTACTATATCTCTGTCTCTGTAATGATTTTATTGTTGTGAAATGTGATGTAATCGTTCATTAATTTAGTTGTTAGCGATTATTATTGTGTTCTGATTGCGCTTGATAGCTTCATGTATTAAACTAGTTTACAGTTAATGAAACACGTCCCCTTTTTCTCAGACCATCTCCTCAAAATCAGTCGAAATAGGACTCCTAATCTCAATGAGTTACCGGAACTTCGGGCACATCTCAATGACTCACGTGGAGAACTTACGTAACTCGGAGCGACTCAAGGTGAGGAAATGTGTGTTGTAAAAAATTTATATATTTAATAACTTTTTTTTTTTTTTTTTTTTTCTTTTTTTTTTTTTTTAAATAATATGCAACCTACTAAAACCAATGGAGCCCTCCTCGGGGTCATTCCTCTCGCATTTGCGAAAGTCGTCCCAAAGGTGTAAAAGGAGGTCAGGATTTGTACTCGCCAAGCTCTTACATCGCTAATTGTTGACCATCGGCCTCCACTGAAGGTAAGTTTCTTTAGAGTGGAGGCCAACCGTCAGCTTGGGATGCAGGGCCAAGCGGGAAACAACGTCAAGGCCCCTCTCTACTTAGGCCATGTTGGTTTTGGCAGATACTGTGGTAATAAAATATAAAGTGAATGAGTGAAATGAAGTGAGTGAAAAGTTATATATTTAATAACTTGACAGGGGGTTGGAGGCCATAATGATAATGTCATTTCTATTCCTGGCATTGGACAGGTTATACTATTAAATGTCATTTGATTAAAAGGACCGTTAGACAGCCTTTGATCTAATATGAATATAAAGCTTTTTGAACAATAAAAATGTATTTGATTAAGATAACCGTTATACACCCTGACAAACGTTATAACGCCCTTGACCAAATATGATTATAAAGCTTTCCCGGATAAATCGTATTGACGTATTTGGTCGCTTGTCGTTCTTTCTTCAACGCTTACTTTGTATTAAAACGTCAAACTTCCCAATATTGGTTGGTTTATTATGGCTCCAAACATGAAATTAATGTAAAGATCCTAACAATTCTCCTTATCAGGTAGTACAGTCTATAGAGGACCAAGATAAGAGAAGTGTTCTGCGCAGTGTTCGAGGTATAACCTCATTTCAACCTCACGAGATTGACTTCCTCTACCGCAAATTCCAGGTACATATAAATCCCTGATGTCACTATTATGGCGAGGTAGTGCACTTTTCTTTGTCAAGCCACCTATAAAATAGGGAATATTACTTGTAATTATAAGGTTATCACAGTAATTACTTTGATAAAACCGTCAATTAAGTAAGTACCTAATAGAACAATAATCCCCAGGAATGCCGACGGAAGATGAGTCAGAGCACAAAAGGAAACAACCACATATCGGGGAAGTTTGTAGTGGATATGGAGAGGTACTGCGAGCTGTTCACCCAGCTCTCACCCTGGGGTCGAGGCTGTTTGGACAGTGTCCTGGCTGGCAGGTTATTCGTCGTGTTGGACAGTGACAAAGATGGGCTAGTGGAGTTCCACGAGACAGTCTTTGGGTTCGACATCATGTGCAACGGATCTCTGGACCAGAAGCTGAAGCTGTTCTACTACATGCACTTGGAGGAGAGGGAGAGAGCGGCAGTGGTGGAGAAATCTTACAGCGACCAAATGGGAGAAAAGCGCGGAAGTGACTGCAGTGCATACAACAGTAGTGGAGACTCCTGCTCTGACCACGGGTTTGTCTCTCAGAGCTCAACTGACTCGGAACCAGACCCAGCGCTTCTGTCCACCCTATCTGCGGAGCGACCAGCCCGGTACTGGAAGACAGTGGGAATCAGGCGGTACCCGAACATGGCATCGCAGCTGGTGAGTCTGGTGGAGTCCTCTCACACGCCTCCGATAAAACAGAAGCAGTTTATCCAGCTCTGGAAGAGTCTGTATGGACTGTATCCAGACGATGAAGCTAGCGTTATTGAGATCTACAGCGCCATCGGGAGATTCGGAGCTCAGGTCACCAAGATGGGAGAAGCTGGTGAGTGGTTGCCAACACCACCATCTCAACAGAACACAGAGGTTGTCTCCTCTGAAGGAGGTGGAGCCTCGAGTGACACTGAAGTTGGGTATGATGCTGTGGAGACTCTTTGCCAACTATCTGAGGAGATCACTTTACCGACCAGTTCCGGGCTCAGCTCCTTACAAACAGACAATCTAAAGGGAGAACAGACAGAACAGCAATCAGAGGGGGAACAGACAGAAAACTCAGAAGAGGCAGCCGACCTACTTTCAGAAGGTAAAAACGAAACGCCAGATAATCAGTCTGATGAACATCTCAACTTCAACACCGGTCAAAGAACCAGACCTAAACTCACGCCACAGGCCACTTTAGTGACCATGGTCAGCTGTAATAGCATCCAGGACAAATCTGCTCCAGCACTTCCCACTATTGAGACTGGAGTGTCACCAGGAGTGACTAAAAATAACAATAACAATAACAATAACAAAGGAGCACAGCCTCATGCTCAGGGTCTGAATCAGAACAACAAGACAATAGAGAGTGAGGAGGAGTGGGAGCTTCCTTTTCAAGTTTTAAATTTCTCCTTGAGAAGTGAACCGGTTATTTATCAATTTTTCCACAATCAAAGCCCAATCAATACGAACATTAGATAGCAGCTTAGTATAAATATAGATGATGTTTTGTGGGGTAGCGGTTTACATTATGATTTTACTTTCAGCCTATGATACGCATTTTGTAAGTAGGAGGTGCAATTGCATACCATTTTATAGCCATACCATTTGGAACTTTCTAGAACTTACTACTGTTATATGCACCACCTCCCCTTACCAATGGTTAATCTTAACTGTGACTGGATATTCACTTTGTTCATTGTTTTTTGCTGTGATTGATGTTTGTAGAAAGCCTGCACAACTTAGCAATCGTGTTCCCTTACTTTAATGACTAAACATTGATTATCAAGCTGCAGACAACCTTTGCAAAAAAAGTTTCCCCTCCCCCAAAAGATTACTGAGTTATTGTGCTTACTACTGGCGTGTTTGACAAGTGACAACTTTTTCATTGTGAATTGTGTTTTTTTTTCACAAACCATAGCTGATTGATTGTTGGTACACTTTAATTGATGTGAACTTTTGTTGAATTATGACCTACGAATTTTTCCAAACGTAGAAGAGATTATTAGTGTCAGACATTTTGTTGGTAAACGTGTTGATTTGAGAATTTTATGCAGTTCTTCTGAACAATTTTAGATTATGTGTCTTTATATAATGATATTTCGACAAAATTTGTTTAAACCCGGGATTACTGTAAAAGACTGATTTATTTATTTTGAAATCTCTTTTTTGGACGACCAAATTTAAAGTGTATGATTTTAAAAACAGATTTCGTGTGATGGAATTCAAAAGTGCTTTTTGCTTTCACGTCGTTAAGTTTGCTGTATCCAGAGCCCTTGCGCTTGCAGTGGCGCGAAAGCACATGGTTAGGTGAATCGTTAAGTCATAAATCATTCTTGTCTGCCGTCTGGTCGGCATCCTCTATAATTTCTAAGATAAGGGCATGGTGGGTCAGATGAGCTATCAGTATCTTCCAGACCCTTAAGCTATAACTGATAAGTGTAATGGACTTCTAGGTTTATACTTTATTGTACTGAGGCGGAAAACAAAATTTCAGAAAGAGCGCCGCGCATGGTATAATTAGTATGTTATGTTTGGGGATTGACTGGCCTGGTAAGTGCAGAATTGCACATTCATGAAGCTTTGATTATTATTACTATACTGTCTACCGACGCGAAGTTATAATTATTTTACAAATAAATACTTTAATACTATGTATACATTTGACATTGTAGGGTATCACTTGTTACTTTGCACTTGTTGCAGCCCCGCCGCGCATCATGAGTGCGCGCCGCGTTATCTGGGGACCTCTTGTAGCGCGATGCACTACTGGGTCGCGCGCGCATCAAATAATGCTTCTCGCCGGTAGATCGGCGAGATGCACCACTGTGCCTCACCGAGCTGCGAAGGATTGACATCGTGAATCAAGGGACCTCAGGCTATCATGTTCATAAATAGAAATTTGGCGGAATGACAGGCTGAGCGCGGCCCAATAAGAGTGCGCGCGGCTGTATCGTTGATCGTGGCTGAAAATGGATGTTGGATATGATCAAATGAAATTAATTTGGGTCACATCGTGGTACAACTGCGTTACCCACAAAAAGAACAACATATTACTGAATGACTTGACGCGAAATATTGGATCATTGCAATTTATAAACACGAAAAACTTATATTGTTCAGTCAAATGAGATGACAGTCGACACAATAAAGTATTTTAATTGGAGGACTTCGCCGCTTTGACGCGCCGCGCAAACTAGTATTCTTGCTTCGCATCAAAAATAACAAATAATATCGTTGTTTTGTTACTGGGTTTTGTTAATTCGTAGAGCAATGATCTGGAAGGGTTGACCATTACCTGGGGACTTCAGGCTATCATGTTCATTAACATTCCGAATAGATATTAGGCGGAATGACAGGGTTAGCGCGGCCCAGTAAGGTTGACCATTGACATCGTCACTAGTGTGGTTGGTTTTATCCGATTTTTTTAGATTTTTATGGAGGTTGTACCATTGTAAAACTTACATTGTGACAGTATAGATGGCGAAATATTTTTGAAAATGGTCCTAACACAGCTTTGATAGTAACAATAACATTGGGTGAATAGATTGGGTGAACAAACTATGAAGCAGGCAATTATATGTGCTCATCCATCATTCTGCATATGTAAGCTCAGTAGTTTAATTGCTGATTCATACTCAATGGTGAATCGATAGAATTCATGTGTCGGAGATCTCGTGAGAACACCTTTTAATAATTATAGCCCTCAGGATCGCATTATCCTGATCCGGCCGTAATGTGTATTGAGGTATGCACTAATTGTAGTGGTGAACGGTTGCAGCTCAGGCTATGTTTCAGTATAACTATATATCAGAGATCGCAGTATATTTACATTCTACTCGGATTGCAGATTGAAATATTTTCCTGTTGGAACCATGACACATGCAGGGGAATACCAAAATATTAATTGTAGTTGTACAACTAATATGATCAATAATTAATAACGCTAATTTGTCCTTATTGGACTTTATTTTTACGGACATAAGTTAATAGTTGCTGCAAATGCCAAATGCTACAACTACAAGTTAAGCCCTAGCGTTCATTTTAATGTCCGTTCATTTTAATTTTAATATCCGTTCGAATATTGGCGGACGTTTTAAATTGTAATTAAATAGACCATTGAGCGGTCGCGTTTATTTTAATGTCCGCTCAAAATTATTCCCGTTCACATTATTTCCGGTTGCAGTACGGGTAAAATAACGTCCGAATAAAGCTATCCGATAAGCTCAGGCAGAGCTTTCGGACTGCGTAAAACTAAACAACTTGAAACGTTGAAGAACGCCGTTAAGACATCTGTTGTTAACTCACCTAAAACACAAACATACAGTCCAATGGCGAAGAATTCACAGCCAACTGAGCAAGTCATAAGCTCGGAAACGCTCAAAAGCGTAGTAAAACGTGTTGTCGAGGAAGAGGACCGCAGTCTAGTCGCAACGTCATTGTATTTGGTCTGTTACAAGGGAGCGAGATATATAGAGAACTTATTGACACAGTTAGCGTGATTTTCCAAAACATTGGACAGAAACCGAAGATTGTTGAAGCGTGCAAAATTGCCAGAAAATCTAAGGACAATTTAGTTACAGCATCATTAATAAATGAGCAATTACGTTATTCGTTTAAGTTATTGCAAAATATTTGATTCCAATAAATAAAATCCGCCTTGTGCCGCGTGCGCTAATTTACTAATTCTGTACTCGCCTGCGTACACTGTACTGCAGCAGGAACAGGCCTGTCTGTCTATCTGTCTATCTGTCTGTCTATCTGTCTATCTGTCTGTCTGTCTGTCTGTCTGTCTGTCTGTCTGTCTGTCTGTCTGTCTGTCTGTCTGTCTGTCTGTCTGTCTGTCTGTCTGTCTGTCTGTCTGTCTGTCTGTCTGTCTGTCTGTCTGTCTGTCTGTCTGTCTGTCTGTCTGTCTGTCTGTCTGTCTGTCTGTCTGTCTGTCTGTCTGTCTGTCTGTCTGTCTGTCTGTCTGTCTGTCTGTCTGTCTGTCTGTCTGTCTGTCTGTCTGTCTGTCTGTCTGTCTGTCTGTCTGTCTGTCTGTCTGTCTGTCTGTCTGTCTGTCTGTCTGTCTGTCTGTCTGTCTGTCTGTCTGTCTGTCTGTCTGTCTGTCTGTCTGTCTGTCTGTCTGTCTGTCTGTCTGTCTGTCTGTCTGTCTGTCTGTCTGTCTGTCTGTCTGTCTGTCTGTCTGTCTGTCTGTCTGTCTGTCTGTCTGTCTGTCTGTCTGTCTGTCTGTCTGTCTGTCTGTCTGTCTGTCTGTCTGTCTGTCTGTCTGTCTGTCTGTCTGTCTGTCTGTCTGTCTGTCTGTCTGTCTGTCTGTCTGTCTGTCTGTCTGTCTGTCTGTCTGTCTGTCTGTCTGTCTGCCAGGTGGCCTGCAGACCCTGGGTAGCACGAATTTTGTCACTAAATGGTAATGCCAGAAAAAATAAATCTATGGGTTCTAATTATTATTATTAGTATTAGTATCATAGGTAAATTCTCGTGCTTACTCATTACATAAGAATAATTTATTAGTATAAAAAGCGTGATGAATGCAGATTAGCATATAAAATTCACATGGCATGACCCAATTCATAATATTAATATTATGTTAATATGTTTCATTACCTGGGGACCTCAGCTTTTGTGTTTATAAACACTGAAAGTGAAACACATTTAGCATTAAAAACGCCTAGTAAATATAGAGACTGCCGTAACTCTTACCGTTTTCTTAATTAAGCCGCTCGGAAATTACAGACAGACAGACAGACAGACAGACAGACAGACAGACAGACAGACAGACAGACAGACAGACAGACAGACAGACAGACAGACAGACAGACAGACAGACAGACAGACAGACAGACAGACAGACAGACAGACAGACAGACAGACAGACAGACAGACAGACAGACAGACAGACAGACAGACAGACAGACAGACAGACAGACAGACAGACAGACAGACAGACAGACAGACAGATAGACAGATAGACAGACAGATAGACAGATAGACAGACAGGCCTGTTCCTGCTGCAGTACAGTGTACGCAGGCGAGTACAGAATTAGTAATTGCTCACTTATTAATGATGCTGTAACTGAATTGTCCTTAGATTTCGTGGCAATTCTGCACGCTTCAACAATCTTCGGTTTCTGTCCAATGTTTTGAAAAATCTCGCTAACTGTGTCAATAAGTTCTCTATATATCTCGCTCCCTTGTGACGGACCAAATACAATGACGTTGCGACTGCGGTCCTCTTCCTCAACAACACGTTTTACTACGCTTTTGAGCGTTTCCAAGCTTATGACTTGCTCAGCTTTGGCTGTGAATTCTTCGCCATTGAACTGTATGTTTGTGTTTTAGGTGAGTCAACAACAGATGTCTTAACGGTGTTCTTCAACATTTCAAGTTGTCCAGTTTTACAGTCCGAAAGCTCTGCCTGAGTTTATCGGATAGCTTTATTCGGACGTTATTTTACCGTACCGCAACCGGAAATAATAAAGTCCAATAAGGACAAATTAACGTTATTGATCATGCAATTTGAGCGCCGCCTGGTAAATATATAAACCGACACAATTAGTATACAGTACAACTACAACAACTGAAAGTCTAAATTGAAGTCGAACATTATTTGTAAAATCGCATGTAGCACAGAGGCACATATTAGGTGCGATGGGTGCGGGATCGCACAATTTACCGTTTTCCGCACATTTCCGCATAATTTATTGTTTTCCGCACATTTTGTAATTTTCTGCATATTTCCGCATAATCTAGCATTTTCCGCGTAATTTCGCATAATTTTGAAATTTTCGCGTTAAGATTTTCGAGTGTAAAAACCATAATATGTTAAAAGTCGGGCCCTTTTAGGACCGTGACTCAGGCCCTTTCGGGACCGTGACCCAGGCCCTTTTGGAACTCATACCTAGGCCACGTGACCCAGTTACCACGTGACCCAGGCCCTTTCGGGACCCTGACCCAGGCCCTTTCGGGACCCTTACCCAGGCCCTTTCGGGACCGTGACCCAGGCCCTTTTGGAACTCATACCTAGGCCACGTGACCCAGTTACCACGTGACCCAGGCCCTTTCGGGACCCTGACCCAACCCCTTTCGGGACCGTGACCCAGGCCCTTTTGGAACTCATGCCTAGGCCACATGACCAGGTTACCACGTGACCCAGGCCCTTTCGGGACCATGACCCAGGCCCTTTCGGGACCGTTACCCAGGCCCTTTCGGGACCGTGACCCAGGCCGTTATGGAACCCACGTCGTTACCGTACTTCGATCATACCTGCAGCCCTTTTTATCGAGTAATGAGCTCTATTCGTTGTAGCGTTGGCTTTATAGTGGGCTTAATAGATCTTGGATCAAATGGTTTACAAGTACTGACGATCAATGCCAACAAGCGTGTCACATATTTGCGATCACGCATGGGATCTGATCGACTCTATCAAGAGGCGTCTTCAAATAACTGTCTCCTGATCTCTACCAGATCAAGTCACTGTTCTCAGATAACTGAATCTCAATATAGGTTCAATCATGGTCTTAGTAAAGAACTACACCCTCAGTAACACATAAACAGACCTATTTTTGATAAGAGCGGCGGTTATACGTTTAGAATTTCCAAAGTCCTTCAGAAAATGCAAAAGAAAACCGCACAATTCCCGCACAAATTTCGAAAAAATCGTCGCACATTTGCCGCATAATTGGTAAAAATTTGCCGCACCTTACCGCACATTTTACCTTTATAGTCGGGTGCGGTACCGCATAATTTCGATTTTTTTACCGCACCTAAAATGTGCCTCTGATGTAGCATGATGCCTGCAGGCCTGCTCCTGCTGTACACTGTACAGTACAGTGTACGCAGGCGAGTACAGAATTAGTAAATTAGCGCACGCGGCACAAGGCGGATTTTATTTATTGGAATCAAATATTTTGCAATAACTTAAACGAATAACGTAATTGCTCATTTATTAATGATGCTGTAACTAAATTGTCCTTAGATTTTCTGGCAATTTTGCACGCTTCAACAATCTTCGGTTTCTGTCCAATGTTTTGGAAAATCACGCTAACTGTGTCAATAAGTTCTCTATATATCTCACTCCCTTGTAACAGACCAAATACAATGACGTTGCGACTAGACTGCGGTCCTCTTCCTCGACAACACGTTTTACTACGCTTTTGAGCGTTTCCGAGCTTATGACTTGCTCAGTTGGCTGTGAATTCTTCGCCATTGGACTGTATGTTTGTGTTTTAGGTGAGTTAACAACAGATGTCTTAACGGCGTTCTTCAACGTTTCAAGTTGTTTAGTTTTACGCAGTCCGAAAGCTCTGCCTGAGCTTATCGGATAGCTTTATTCGGACGTTATTTTACCCGTACTGCAACCGGAAATAATGTGAACGGGAATAATTTTGAGCGGACATTAAAATAAACGCGACCGCTCAATGGTCTATTTAATTACAATTTAAAACGTCCGCCAATATTCGAACGGATATTAAAATTAAAATGAACGGACATTAAAATGAACCCTAGGGCTTAACTTGTAGTTGTAGCATTTGGCATTTGCAGCAACTATTAACTTATGTCCGTAAAAATAAAGTCCAATAAGGACAAATTAGCGTTGCCGTTATTAATTATTGATCATATTAGTTGTACAACTACAATTAATATTTTGGTATTCCCCTGCATGTGTCATGGTTCCAACAGGAAAATATTTCAATCTGCAATCCGAGTAGAATGTAAATATACTGCGATCTCTGATATATAGTTATACTGAAACATAGCCTGAGCTGCAACCGTTCACCACTACAATTAGTGCATACCTCAATACACATTACGGCCGGATCGGGATAATGCGATCCTGAGGGCTATAATTATTAAAAGGTGTTCTCACGAGATCTCCGACACATGAATTCTATCGATTCACCATTGAGTATGAATCAGCAATTAAACTACTGAGCTTACATATGCAGAATGATGGATGAGCACATATAATTGCCTGCTTCATAGTTTGTTCACCCAATCTATTCACCCAATGTTATTGTTACTATCAAAGCTGTGTTAGGACCATTTTCAAAAATATTTCGCCATCTATACTGTCACAATGTAAGTTTTACAATGGTACAACCTCCATAAAAATCTAAAAAAATCGGATAAAACCAACCACACTAATCGTCACGGTCAATGAACATTTTCAATTTTAAAAGTGCTTAAAGCAGTTGTGGCGACATGATTTTGTTAATACTAAATTGTAGTTATCTCTTTTAAAAACTTTCACAGCTCCTAGATGCACGATTTTGTCAATTAAGCATCATTTACAGCTGAGCTAAATTCAAATTATTTAAGCTTTTGGTGCTGTATAAAAATTACATTAATTTGTTATTATTATTATTAGTACACAAAATGTACAAGTTGGTTTGATAACAATAAATGGTTGACCTAGGAAAATTGTTGATAGGGCGGCTTCAGTTATCATGGAACTCACTTATTTGATAAATAATTATAATAATAATTTAAACTTATAGATTATTATAGTGGCACAACATGTTAAAATGCACAGGTGTGCCACGAAAACAAGTCAGGATACAAGAAAACCTGAAAAGCAATCCACATTTAAGTTCCAAACCATAGAAAATTGTAAAGACTTGATTCACTAAATTACAAGGTTAAGGGTATTATATATACACTTCAGAGTAGTAGTATAGAAACATTGAACTGTGAACATTGAAAAAATAAAACATATCTTAGAAAGCGCTTGCGCTTTGAGGTATTAAAGACAACAGTTATTTCGATAAGGGGGGACAGAGGGCCCAAGTTGCGATATAAACCAGACAATATTGAAGATTTAGATTTAAATATTGAGCCCTTTGGCTAGAGAATACTTTCTTAGATATTTTTGACAGTTTTTAATATTGGTAATGTTAATGAATTGTAATTGATTGATATGTGTATGTGGAAGTGACAACTCAATAAACCACTCATTGATATGCAAAAGGGGTGGGTATGTATCTCTCCGCCACAATTCATTGAGAGATGTGATAGCAGAGCTATTAGAAACTGCTGGCTGTAAAGATGTTACCACTGAACCTCTCCTCATTCCTGTCAATGGGAGAGAACTTCCTGCAGGGGCCAACAAAGCAGATGGAGCTAGATTAGATGTTAGTGCTAGGAGTGTATGGAACCCATTGGAAAGGGCATTTTTAGATGTAAGAGTATTTCATGCTCAAGCTCCTTCCAATAAGGCTCTTGGATCTCCAACCACTATGTACAATAGCCACGAGAGACAGAAAAAGAATTTATACAATAAAAGGATTGTAGAAGTCGAACATGGGACGTTTACACCGATAGTCCTATCAACCACTGGGGGTATGGGAAGGGAAGCTAATAAGTTCTTCAAGAAGTTAGCGGATAAACTATCTAGGAAATCAGGCCAACGATATAGTGAGGCAATGACATTTATTAGGAAGAGAGTAAGATTTGACCTATTGAGAACAACAATCATAGCTCTTAGAGGAGAGAGAGGGTCTAAAAGTAGTAGTGCAGTAAAAATAGCAGAATTAGATATAAATTTGGAGCCAGTTCTTTAAACTGGCTTACTTATACTACTTAAAGGGTGTTCAAGGGTTTTCTATTGAATTTATATTGAATTTTATATATTGAATTTTATATAGGGTAATTGTTATATTATGTGTATATTGTTTGAATAAACAAGCACAAAAAAAAAATTGATATGTAATATTTAGGCCTGTGGCCATTTTTCACATTGAATAAATTATCAATTAATTAATATCATAAGCACGTTTAAAAAGAAACATTTTCAGATACACTTAAAAAGATTCCAGTGACATGCAATTCTTAATTTCTAGAGGCAGCTCATTCCATAATTTAGGGCCAACTTTCTGAAACGATCTTTCTCCATACTGTGTATATACTCTAGGTTCAGTCAAATAGATAAAATGATTATAATTGACATATTTAAACATATTACTTAAATAATGATGATAAACTCTAAATTTAGTAGCCAAAAATTACTGGAGGTGATAGCTAGAGGAAGGTACGTGATGGAACACAGACTCAATTGCTTTTCTTCAAGTCTGATCACTTTCTTCAAGTCTGATCACTATCTCGATCAGTCCTGAACCCACAAAGGGAATTAACCGAACTTGCTATCCACCTCCCACCACTGGATGTGCACAGTGGCGTAACATTGCCTGTTGGCGCCCCCCGCCAAATAGCGCCCCCCCCCCCCTGTTGGTGCCCCCTCCCCTTTTGGTGTCCCTCCCTAAAATTGAACAGATTAGGTGAATTTAGAGGATACACCGGTAAAATCTCTAAGAAAGTGTGTATCTAGAGCGAAACGCGCAGTTTTGCTAGTACTTAAGATAAGTTTTCAAAATTGTCCCACATTCCAGTGGCGTAACGTTGCCTGTTGGCGCCCCCCTGCCGAAAAGGCGCCCCCCTGTTGGCGCCCCCTCTCCTTTTGGTGCCCCTCCCTAAAATTGAACAAATTAGGCGATTTAAGAGGATATGCTGGTAAAATCTCTAAAAAAGTGTGTATCTAGAGCAAAACGCGCAGTTTTGCTAGTACTTTAGTTAAGTTTTCGAAATTGTCCCACATTCAAACGACGATTTGGCGCCCCCCTAAGACGGCGCCCCCCTGCACAGCGGGGTCAGCAGGGCCCTTCGTTACGCCACTGCCACATTCAAACGACGATTTGGCGCCCCCCTAAGACGCCCCCCCCCCCCCCCCCCCCCCCTCACAGCGGGGTCAGCGGGGGCCCTTCGTTACGCCACTGGATGTGCAACTCGAAATTCATGTGCAAAATACTCACACAAGGTGACAATCTTACAGCTACCAAGTTGATGAAAGCAGAAGACCAAGCATTCATGCTTTGACCATGTCACTTAAAAAGTACCTCCTTTGGAAAGAAAATAAGTCTCATGGAACTAGGATGATTGACCTAATGCAGCCACAATACAAAGATCTGGCTCATTACACGCAGTCCGACATAATAAGCTACAAACAAAAGGTCTGGTTTGATACCATTGAGACAAATCTCTTATGCAAAACTATAGGTAACAGCAAGGAGACCAAGATACTTGGTATCATCACCAAGATGAAGAACAGTGGGCTGCTCCTAGACAAGAATAACTTCATATTCGGGCACAACACAGGTAAATATCTAGGCAGCAGAATAATGGATTATATTCACGGCAGCTCACCATTCTTTGCGGGTATCCAGAAGATCATGGGTAAAAACAGTGGTGAAACCTGTCGTTTCTGTAACAACTTCGATGATTCTCCTGAACACCAGCTTCTGCTATGTCTAGAAGCCCAAGATACCAGTCACCAACTTAAACAAGAACTAAATGGAACTGAACCATATTCCTATCTAGAAGAAGTTCTGATATCAACAAAAAACAGCAGCCAAAAAGCATTCATTAGGAGAGTAGAATTTCTTAAGGAACAAAATGAATCTCTCCAGGACTTAGCCAACTAGAAAGACTATAAAACAAATACTCTGTAAACATCTCAGAGAAATGATAACACCTTAAAGAATAAAGAGGGAGGATCCTGGACCCCGAAATCCACCACCTTTCTGTACTTTCAGAGGTACCAATGCGGCAGGAAACCAGGGCTCATGCCAGGCGGCTTCTCTGGGCCAAATGCTTTAATGGCCTCCAAATCAGCATGAAAAAAAAATAAATTGGCCAAGAAATGGGAGTTTTAGAACCCTAAATTTGGACCCCCAAGTGGTGTCAAAAACGCGAATTAAATAGGTAATAATTATTTTAGTCTCTTGAGTCTTGTCACCATTTTAGGATTATTATATGGGTTCCTGCTAGTATACAAAATGCTTGATAACTTTGTCGTTTCGAATCCGTTTTTTATGATTTTTTGCAGATCATATCACACAGTTATAATATCTTACTTATAATTCAGAGAATTCCCTTTGTACAATGTAAATAGAAACCTACTAGCTTCCTCCCTGTGACCACGGGCTTTCCAGTAATATATATAATAAGTTATGTAATGTTTAAAGGGTGTGGCCTCCAACAGTTTAATTTTGAAAATGTTGGTGACTGATTCCTCGGATAGTTCTGGAATCACATCTTATAATAACTGATTAAGCGAGTTTTTTTCTTTCAAATTCCATTTGATTTTAATCCCAATATTGCTTTTCATTGAGTCAACACCAGAAAAGAAACTCGCTTAGCTAGACTTATCATAACACTGTTAATGTGAAAGATTTTGTCAAATGTTCTTTCCAGTTATTTTTGATACAATATGTTCTAATCTTCAACATGTTTTAGGAACAATGGCTGATGTGTCAAAGAGAGGTAAGCTTTTAAATAACTATTATCATACTTTTACATATTTTTAAGCTGTCAATTTCAAGTTCAAGTAAATTTCATATTTTTTATCCATAAATAGAACATATTCTTTAGAATCCATTTATTGGTCGCTTACATAGCAGCAAGATTACAACATAATCTAATGAGTACGAATAACTAGTGAAGAGTTATTTAAACTATCAAATTTATTAAATAATCCTGACTCAATTAAAAAATAATCAGATTTTGTAATTATTCAGTTAATATCATAATAAATATATATTAATAAATCTATTTCGTTAATATTTTATTTGATACGTCGTTATATTCACAAGGATATTCAAATTTTAAATTAATATAGTTTTTAAAATGATATTTACCACCAGCCACGAAACGTAATTAGGAAATTTCCGTCAGTTTCCCTTGTAACCTTTTGACAACACGATCTTGGTACACGAATAATTCAATAATATTATACAATATTATAGCACAAAGCTTCTACAAGGAGAATTTGAGATCCACAAAGCATTTTATAGAAATTATTCCGGATTATTCACATGATTAGTAAACTTATTCGACTCATTTAGTTTATAATGTCTAACGTTTATGAGACATTATAAACTTTAGACATTGTAGACTAGGCCTATTCAACTTGCTGATCCAAATAATCAGCTCCTTTCTCTTTAAACCACGAGCTGCCTAACTCCGTCTGTTTCCTGTTTACTAAAGTACAAATCTTACTGCAAGTCCCGCGAGTATCTCTCAAGAATAATGTATTATACATTATACGTATTATAATGCAGATATGTTCTTCAAACTCAGACATAATGAAATTGTATTCGCTTGGGTTGAAAGTACATAACATAACATTATATACTAGGAGGATACTTTTAGATCGTTATTATATGGGGTGGGCGATTAAGGGCCCTTTCATGCTCGTTGCATCCTGAATCTTCCCCCATGTAATTTGAATGTGTGTAGAATTGTCTGACATAACATGTAACCTC